TTAAGGTATTGACCTGTATCTGCTATAGGCATTGTTTCACTACAGCTCTGTCTTCATTGAAATTCTCTGCTCCTTTTGTGAAGTCTTCCGGGCTTCTTTCATTTTTGCACTTACAGTTACATTGTCTTATAGATCACTTTCTGCTTGGAGGCAGTTCTGCCCTCCACTCGGCTGTATGGTAGCTCTTTTTTCATGTTTCAGCTGGAGGAGATGTACCATAGGTTCCTACTACTTATTTTCCTGCCTCACAAGGAGATGGTAGCAACTAATGCTGTTGGGGAAAGTCTGTTGTGTTAAAAGTATTGTATAACCCTTGGAAATATCCTAAGGAAATTCAAAATAAAAATAAATTCTGAATCAGATGCATAGGTTTGACCATGCATAATATTGACCACTTTTTTTTTTATGGTCCAAATAAGAAAAGAAGGTTTCCCTTGGCTGATCAGATGACAGAATTAAGAAATACCAGAAATCAATAAGGTCATCCTAACTGGCCTGTTTTAAAAAGTAATTTAGAAAAAAAAAAAGAAGAATAAATTTTCTTCTGGCTTAAACACTTAAACTAATAGAGAATTTTGATAATTAAAATACATTTAATACAAATGCATGAGATACATGAGATAAAAATACAGACCAATTGTCAGTAATCCAGAAATAAGAAAAGACCTCCCAGGCTGGTATTGAAAACATGTCCCCTTGTCCAAGCTGTGTATGTCAGCAGAGTGGATCTTAACAATCTCTCAGAGAGGCCCAGAGAACAGAGGAATACAGGATGGAGCCCAAGGGTCAGAACTGCATTGGGAAATAATGGCATAGTCAATGCCCATAAGATGTTTTCAATATGCACTTTTGTGCAAGGGCCGACAGTAATAACGGCCCTAACCGATGTGGGATGGACTATTCCCTGGAGTTAACTGCCCACCTGCTACTTGTCTCTCACAACAGAGTCCCAGTCAGGACAATTTCTCACACTTTCATAAATGAGGAAATCGCCTCCTTGGTGCTCTAGAGGCATGAACTCCTCTTTCTGGGAAGATCAATTTACCCATAAGAAGAACAGTATTCACATTTCCTTTCTGTGAACTTAGAAAATAAAAATGTGTAGAATTATAGACTTTTCTTACCTGGTCCCTGTTTTTCCCAAACTGCTTCACATTTCTGGTTTTGTAAGGTTAGGCTTGCACAGCTTGACTACTGCACAGAAGACCGGGGGCTGTTCCCTTTCTACAAAACCATTGTAAGAGTCTTCATGAGACTTTGTGTACATTTTTTTAATTCAAAAATATTTATTGAATATTTGGGACTATTTCACATAAATATAATTTCTAAATATGAGCATAAAAAAGGGAAAAGAAACCATGTATGTTATAGGGATTTATTAAGATTATTTTATTCAAATAAGATTTGTTCAAAAAAAATATTTGCAAGGAAATTTATTTAATATGTCTGAAATTGCACAGGGTCAATTTTCATTCCAGTCTTGTGCTATAATAATACTGTAGATTTCCATTATGCCATAAAGAAGCATCTTGATGTTATAAAAGATAAAATGTTTTTCATGCAATGTATAACTTTGATCTGCATTTTATAAAAAAAAAAATATACCTTTGGGCCAGATTCTAATATAATTTCACAGGAAAATTCCTACTGAGGCTGTCTGATTCCAATATAATTTGAAAGCAATTAAAGTTTAACAAAGGAATTGTGCAGTAGAGTTATTCTGGAAATGAACCAGGCCCAAAGGGAATAAAACAAGCATATTCCGTTCTTTGAAACAGCTCTAAGAAAGTTCTTAAGTTCTACTGACTCACTAAAACTATAGCGTTCCAGTTGGGGAGTAAAAGCATTACAAGGCAGTAGTTTATGCAGTATCACTCGTTTCAAAAATTGAAAAGTTTCTTAAAACTCAATAGCATCATTTCCAAATGGGTATTCCTGTTCAACTCAAAGTGCAAAACTTCTAGTATGCCTTATTAAAATATAAGTCTGATGCAACACAAAACTTCCAGTTTAAATTCCTTTCTTCTGTATTGTTTCTATCTTTCTTAAAAAATGCCTGTAGGGTCTCACCACCTCATTATCTCAGTGAGAGCCAGTTAAGAGTTCCATACCAGAAGTAGTGTAGCACAGGGAACAACTCTAAACAAAGGAAATGAAGACAGAACAAAAAGGAAAGAAGGTTTCCTGTGTGCATATCCTTAGGGGCTACATTTCATCATCAGTATATAATGCCTCTTTTTCATTATTCTCTATACTATAACCCAATATAATATTCTGCATTAAATTAATAGAGGTTGCTTTTTAATTGTGTCAATATTTGCTATATTAATATTTTCCAACGGAAGCAGATAGAGGCTAAGGAAAATGAGGTTTTCTGGTTGTCTATTTAAGCACATGCCATCTTGGGGTTAAGCTTGCAGAGTTAAGACATAAAAAGCATTAATCAGCACATACTAATTAATTGTTTTTAATTAATTAGAGAAATAAAATGGTGAAATTAAAATGCAAAGTAACTCAGTAAGTTAATGACTGATATGTCAACTTCATTTTCATTATAAGAAACCTTAAATTATAAAAAAGTATGAGTCTACCCTTAATTAAAATGTTGATATTTCAAACAAAATTTTGGAAAAAAATGTGCTTATTCAAATGAAAATTCCAAAAAGGAACTGATAGCCTGACATTTTGAGTAACATTCTCCCTAAATGATAGAGTTACATCCAGAATGGCACCATGAGAAGCGCCACAGACTTGCTGCCCCAGCAAAACAACCATAACTGGTAAAATAAAAAGAAATGGGAAGTGTCTAGAAATTCTCCTAAGGACACAAAGCAAGTGGAGAAACATTCATCGAAGAAAATCACCTAAATTTCAGTAAGAGTTGTGTATGTGGAATTTGAGCCCAAAACCCACTCCTTCCCTTCCCCTCCCCCACTTGACATGATTAAATCTCCACTCTCAGTGGGTATGGCCAAGAAGATGTGGCTCCTTTTCCCCTAAGCCCCCAGTCAAGGAATATTAAAAAGGCTACAGAGGCTAAATCCTGGGGATAACAACCAAAAGGCCATGGGCTTCCTCTTCCACTGACCCCTATTCACAGAGCAGAGGTTCTGCCATGTGCACGTGGAGGGCTCTACCAGATAAACCACGTGCTTGGCCATAAAACAAGCCTCAACAGATTGAAAAGGATTGAAATCATGCAAAGCATGCTCTCTGACCACAAAGCAGGGAAATTCTAAATCAATAACAGAAATCTGAGAATTTATAAATATGTGGAAATTAAGCACAATGCCTAAATAACCATTGGGTCAAAAAAGAAATCACAAGGCAAGTTAGAAAATACTATAAGATGAATGAAAACAAGAACATAACATACCAAAATTTATAGGATGCAGCTAAAGCAATGCTTAGAGAAAAATTCATAACTATATATGGCTGTATTAAAAAGATCTCAAATCAAAAACCTGAGCTTTTTACCTTAAGATACTTGAAAAAGGACAAACTAATCCCAAGCAAGCAAAAGGAAGGAGATAATAAAGATTAGAGAAGAACTTACTGAAATAGAGAATAGAAACACAATAGAGAAAACCAACAAAATCAGATGTTGGTTCTCTGAAACAATATTGGCAAGTTTTCAGCTACACTTACCAACAAAAAAATAGAAGATAAATTATCTTAACTGACAAAGCTTCTGAGAACAACATAACTTTCCACACAATCAGGTACATTAATTACCATGAATCAGAGATGATTTTAGAATATAAGTTATGTGGAAAAGCACCTCCATTTGTCCCTTTTTTTTTCCTTTGTTGGTGTGGAGAGCAGGACTGAACTAAGGTGATGTGGAGGCAAGCCATGTTTAGAGCATGTGCAGTACAATGTGGTCAGCATCTTCTTACCCGAAGGGGAACTCCGCCCTCTCAGAGCATGTGCAGTAGAGCAACATAAACCACATGTGCTTATCAAAGTTGCACAAAACAATATTTGTTAATCAGCAGCTGACACAATACTGCATTATACAAGAGTACATAAGCAGAGGACTTCAGACTTGGACAACACATCCAGAAAGCGTGTCACCTTGAAACAGCCTGCATGTTCTGCCTGGGGAGAGAGCACTCTCTGCCAGAAGCCCACCCATCTAACTCTGCCTTTGAAGATGTCAACCACCCCGCTGCCTCCAAGACCAGATCTTATCTGAACTCTTGGGACTTGGGTTCATTATCCCCAATTCTCTCATGTGATATTGTTACTGATTGTTTCTACTCTCACTATTGATTGATTATTATTGATTGAGATTGAACCTGCATCAATAAAAGCTGACTAAATAGCACAGTCACCTTTGTTGACTCATTGTTATTCCTTAGCCTGGAGTTATCCATAAGGCTGGAGGCTTTGTAGGCAGAAGGGCATCTCCAGTCCATGACAAAAGGCTGGAAGCTTGACTTATAAGAAAGACTATGGCACGAATATGCATAAGGTTAGAGAATCTCTCATGAGAGCTAGGTAAACAAAATCTACCCTAAGTTACATTTCAAGATCTTTGAAAATCTGTTATTTATCCCTAGTTAACCCCCCCCCGCCCCACACACACTCATGCATGCACACTTCTGCTGTAGGAGGCTTCTTCCCCCATTTCAGGGTCTATTACATACCTTTTACTTTTCTTCCCCAGGGCACCAGCAAAGCAGAATAGATTTGATATCAGTTATTAGCTCTTTTGCCAATTGACAGATTACATTTTCAAATTCATTCCTACAAAAGCATCATTATAAACAGAATTCACGATCTGACTCTGAGGTACCTAACTGTGGAAAGAAGGGGTTTTCCATATTAAAGAATATTAAGCTTCCACATGATCTCACCAATGGGTGTATATACACACACACATACACACATTTATTTATATATGAGCAAAAAGGAAATATGGGAAACTCAGTATCACCTTGCAAGTCATTTGAATTCATTTTTCTATGTTTGTTTATTTTATATTTTTAAGGGACTACAAGAAGCATCAGACGTTAGGCCCAGGTACAGCCCCTGGCTGCTCAGGAGCAGAGAAGCCGGGTACCTGTGAGCCATTTGGGGTCGGAGCCTGAACACAGGGTCAGCCCAAGGAGGCGGACGGCGCCATTTGGCCTCCTCTTTATGAGGGGCTCGAGTTGGCCTTTTGATGTGGACTACACATGAGGCTATACCTGCAGTCAGTGCTAAACGAGTGGTTTATCAGTTTTGTCTGTAACATGTAAATGTTTACATATGCCACAGTTTTTGTAACCACACTTTGCCATTTTTTCATGTCTGTAGACATACGGGAAACAGTGGAAGGAAGAGCACAGGGCTTGCCTCTGCCTCTCCAGGGCGCTGCCTGACGCTGCCCTGACGTGGTCCCAGCAGCCAGGGACCCGGCCTTTCACAAGTGCCTGCTTCCCCTCGCTCTGCTGCAGCCCTCAGACTTCCTCTCCCTGCCGCAGGCTCCACCGCGAACCTGCCACACTTCTGTTTTCAGGGGCACTTGGTGCGGTTCTTATCTGAATTTAATGTTGTCATTATTACAACCTCTACCCAACATCTCTAAAATCTCAGTGCATGCCTGTTCCACCTTTATCATTCCTATTTGTAACTTAGATATTTTGCATCACAAAAACCCCTCTAAATCGGGACTATGTTATTGAAGTTATCGGTTTTACAACAATTATAATAACCAAGATTTATTAAGTACCTGTTTTGTACCAAGCACTCTACTGTTTTACATAAATTATCTCATTCTGTCACACTGAACCATATATAAGCATATGCTTGAATTTGTCAGTAGCACTTAAAATTAATTAAAATAAAGATATTTTTGGTCATCTTGGAAAGAAACATCTCAATATACTGAAAACATGAAATCCACAGAATAAAATATTTTGAAGTTTTACAAAATGCACAACACTAAATTATTGCAGGGGTACTATTAAATTTATGTTTCTATCATGTCCTAGAAACCGCAGCTTCTAATATATCAAATAAATTATTAGATTCATATCTTCAAATAAATCCTTTTACTAAGAAAGTAATATATAAAGTGAGTATTATGTTTTTGCATTAACTTCCCAACTGTTTTCCATAATAACAAACCAGCCTGACATCAATTGTGGTATGAGGGCTGAAAAATAACATGAGATATGATTTTTACTAATCCTTAACATTCCACTTTAAAGCTGTATGCTGTTCTTGATCAAAACTCTTATTTTATTATCAGGAATTACATTATTCTTCAAAGGAGTGAATTTTCTGTTGGAGACAGGAAATGAAGGACTGCTAATGCTGGAAATGTATTTTTCCTGTCTCGACATTACTACATGATATATATTCATATTACTAACAACTCGGAAAACTAGTTTCATTTCTTCTACATATAAGCAATAAACAGTATGTGCAAAAATATGAATACTACCAGCAGTGATGTGGATATATGATATGGAGTTTCTCCTGAATGTACAGCCATTTCTAATATTTCATTAGAGCATTGTACAGGCAACTGCCAGAGATGTCCATCAAAGCTGGGTTAGATGAAGATAAACAATGCAGGCTTTCAGGAAAAACCGAAGCTGCAGCTCAAAAGTATCCATTTCTCATCCAAGGGCACTATACGACCACTGTCTTCCTCCTTTATGCAAAAAGAATGAGTCGATTATGGTACTGACATTCCTCCATAGCAGACTGAAAAGTCTTTTTACAATCCAACAAGAGCCAGTAAAAACTAACAACTTCATAAGAAAATGTAGAAATTTCAAACTATCTTCATGCTCAAGTTTGTCACCTCTGCAAATTTTCTCCAGTCTACCATAATTTTATTGGTATGGCAGAGTCTATGTATGCAAAATTTCATAACGACAAATACTTTACACCAAAATAAATAATGTTTGAACTGCTTTCAAAACAAAAATTTATGTATCATGTTTAATAATAAAATAAAGCTTTCAGCTTTTGTCATTAATTTTATGTGTAATAATCGCAGATGGTAACAACTCGAGCACAAAGACCACTTCTTCCTAGTCTCCACATAACTTATAAATTCTATTAAATAAATGGATCAATAATAAATGGAGAATAATACATGAAAAAATAGTACTTGGTGAGATCATGGATTTCCCATTTAGGAAAATGACATCAGCTTTTAGTTTAATAACATCCCCTCCTGCTCCCCGAGACGGGTGGTGCAACTGATACTTTCAAACAGTGGCGGGGGGTGAACTGCTCTAATCTTTTGAACAAAATGTCTATTAAAATTTAGAATGTATACACTTTAGACCTGGAATTACACTTGTCGGAGCTTATCATTCAGATATAACCATCCAATCATACAAAGATTTTATGTGTAAGGATACTCCCGGCTGCAAAAAAAAAAAAAAAAAAAAAAAAAAAAAAAAACTGGACACAGGCCAAATGACTTCCTTCCTTAATCACTTATGGTGCAATGGAGTACACTTTAAAATTTTCCATGTGTGGTATGTGTGTGTGGATGTGCCTGTACATATATACACACACGTCTACACGAGTGCCTATACATAATTTCTGAAACAATTTATAAGAAAATATTTATAAAGCTGGGATATATATATCCAAACCACATTTCAAAGAAGATAGTGTGAGTCGTGACCCAATCTTTAAGAGGATACCTCAAAGACAGGATTTGAAAGGGAAAATAGGACATTGTTTCTGTATGTATTTGACAATTATAACCCATGTGATGAGAAAACAGCCATTCTGAGTCACTGCTTAGGCATTTCACAGGATGAAAACCCTGCTCACTCCACAAATCTGGGCATTAAGACAAGAACCGAAGCTTAGAATTCCCACCACCAGTTCCTGCCTTGCTTTCCCGGGTCACCTTTTAAAATGACCACTCAGAGCTGAGCCTGTGAAAAAATTAGTGACTGCCACCCCGACCTCCTTATAAGGAGTAAGTGATCGTTACCCTCTTCTCTCCTGCTCGCCTGGGACCTAGGAGGGAGGTTCACTGCACCCCCATTCTGGGGCCTATAAATATAAATCTTGTGACTTTGTTTCCTTTGTGAGCATATTCAAACTACGCCTTCGATGAAAATGGCTGCTGGGTTTTTCCTTCCCCAAAGTAGCTCAGATGACCAGGGAGCTGCCTGCTGATCCATGCAAGGGCTTGTGCCTCCCCTTTCAGCGGGGCATAATCACACATTCCTAAATAAACACAGCCCAACGAATTATAAATCAAAGTGACTGACATGAAACTGACTGATGACCAAAATTGTAAAGTTATGGCCTTTGCAGAGCTAAAAGGAGCCTAAAGGTCTTGCTGTATGAATTTTCTGCAAAAGGAATATAGCCTTGAGTCCCTGTTTCCTCAAATGTATTCCACATAATTCTAGAAGTAGATTGGAAAAATGAATCTATATTTGGAAAAATTGTGAAATACTGGTTAAATATAATAAAATATAGTTCTTTCATACAAAACCATCTCAGAGTCTCTAATATGCTGCCTGTATTGTAAACCTCCAAAAGGAGAATATTATGTACAGGATTTTTCAAATTCATGTGGCCTCTTGACTTAAGAAACATCTTGATGGTCAAACGCTCTGCAGAACACACTCGGGAAAGGCTAGTCTAGAAGCAAATATTCCAAATTTATAAAAGTAATAAAATTTCATTTTAAGAATATATCCAACTACTCTAAAAATTAAACTACCATGGTGCAAAACTAAAAAAACTAAAAAAATATAGGTAAGTAAATATACATTCACTGTAATCATACAAGGTCATGTCTTAAACCAAAGCATTTTAACATTGAACATACTCCACATGGCAGCAGATACATGTGCTCATTGGTGTTTCATTTACCTCTGAAGCGCTAAGGGTTTGATTCAGAGGGTTCTCCATAAATGCCGAATGGATTCTAATTTACCTGAGTGTGGACTTTGCTGGTGAACTTAGGTACTCACTCTGCCAAAATCTCTCTCACAGAGGAAACTAGAGATAATATCCTAAGCCTGCTGAGCATTCCCTTCTCTATCGTTTTCAAAGAAAATGTCACCTTTGAGAGTGATCATGATATTAGTTCCTCCTGAAGACAGACACTCGATCTTGTTCACTGCAAGTTACCTGGGAAAATGTTCCAACTGATCACAATCTGGGGTACGGATTTGGAATCAGGAAGACCCAAGTTCAAATCCAAACTCTCTCACCAACTCGCTGTAAAATTTTGAACTATCTACCTGCCCTTTCTGAGCCTCACGTAACAGTATTTTATGGGGATTGTGTGAGAATGTAAAGTGACAACAGATATAATGTGACAGCAGTTCCTCCAAAGCATATAACTGAACTACTAGTGACAATTTCAGTTGATTTATAGGCATCTCACTCGCTGAAACTGGAATTGCATTGCTGGATGGCTTATTGTTTTCCATAGCACGTGTTGGAAATTCACTTTTCATCTGTCCAGAGAAAGTGTTCATGGGAAGAAGTCACACTTGGTCTCATCGGCACAGTGTTCCCAAGGTCCAGAACAATGACTGGCCCAAAGCACACACTCCCAGGAAATGTTTGTGTGCGTGTGCATGTGTATGTACAAACATTTTTAAAAGTATAACAACATGAGAGTAGCGATTTCTCCTATTTGTATTTATTTACCTCAAAATTATACTTGCACACAAAGTGATACATAATTCTAAAAGGTTTGTTACGAAAACTGTCAGTCCCATCCCATATGCCACCAATTTCCTCCTCCTCAGTTCTTTTAGTTGATTATTTATTAACACCACAGAGGTAAGTAGTGTGGTTGTATTGCTCCTTTTCGATTTTGTTTTAGTATCATCTGTTGACTTTTCCTATGGAGAATGAAGATGTGACCTTTTTCCCCTGGTCTGCCCCACCCCACACACATCACCCATACATGCATACACCCTTCCCTTCACCCCATTTCCCCAATATGTTACCTAACAATATTTGCTGGATCAACATTCAGCTTCTGCTATTGTGATAATATATTATTCAGAGCTGAGCTATGTGTATTAATAGATCATTAATTCCCCTTCCCTGCACAACGTCTTGTTTTCTCTGGAGTTAATCATTATCTTGCATTTTTTTCCACCTTAGCTTCCTATGTATTCAATTCAAAACTACTTACCAACTGCCTGACTCTACTCTCAGGAAGTGAAGACATCAAGCAATCTATCAATTTCAACTTCCTAAGAAAACTCTTCTATACCCTTCTCACCTGCTCACATCTGGACTGACATCCTCTCTGCCTACAACCCCACGTCACCGTCACTCTGGCAACCTCCTTTGTTTGAGCTCCTGTTTCCTGAATCCCACATCTGTTTTCTTGGTTTACTCCATTTTGGTGAAGCAAATCTTCCAGCAGTTTCCTGGGAAGTAAATTTTCAGTGACTTTGATAAATAAAAATGACTTTGAGAAGTCATTTCAAATTATTGGAAGTTTGCCTGGGTAAGGAAATCTAAGTGAGTTGTAATACTCCCTCAGAATCCTGAAGGCCATGCTTCTTTGACTTTTAGCTTCTAGTATGCTGTTAAGATGTCTGATATTCAAATTCCAGGTTCTTTGATTTCAGACTTGTTTTTTCTCACTTTAAATTTCCTTCAGTGTCCAAAACTTTCACAATGATAGTGCATTGGTGGGTGTATTTTGATCTACTATGCTGGAAATTCAGTGAGTCCTTTACAATTTGTAAATTTACATCTGTGAGTTCTGAGCAAATGTTTTGAACAATTTTGTGGGTTGCTCCTCTCCTTCATTTTCTTTCTTCTCCCTCTACCTTTCCTATTATTTGGATAATGAGCTCCTAACTTGGTTTTCCAATTTTCTCATTCTATTCTCTCCTGGTTTTGCTCTACTTTCTAAGAGATTTCTTCAATTCTGCCTTCTGTTTCTACTATAACATTTTCCATTTCTGCTTTCATGTTTTCAATGTCTTAATAGCATCCTATTCCTATGCAATGATTACAATTTTTTTTCCTTACCTCTCTGAAGATCTGAATGATTACCTTTTTGAAATTTTTTTCTTCCTAGCTATTTATTTCTTATACTTTACCTTCTTCTGTTTGTTTTGAACTCTTACACGTTACAGGCTTTCTTCAAACAGCCTTAACTGCTCATACCTAAGAAAGAACCACTACAAAAACCCAGGTTGGGGGCTCCACACACAGAGAGGGCCTTATCTGTCATACCCTCACCACAGGATAAGCCAGCTAAGAGATTTCATTAGAGAAGCCGCTGGGTATCAGATTTTCCAGAATGATCCTTCCAGCCACCTTTCTGGGTAGGGGCCTTTATACCAACACACTGGAGGCCAAGGCGAGGGTGGGAGAGGGGAACATGAGGTACGAGGATGTTATTTAACGCGCAGTGTACTGACTGATTGTGCCTATGTCCCCTAACAGACTCTTCATCATCTCCAGATGGTATCTCCAGGCATCCACCAAAGACAGGGAGAGGATGTGGAGATGTACGCGCTTCCTAAACAGCTTCTGACCAGTGCAGATGGTTAGAGTCTCCTTGCACTCCAACTTCTAGTGATATCTTCAATTCCTGGGATTTTGAGAGATTGTCATGTAAACAGGTTTGCTCCTCACATCTGCTAAATCCATTACCACACAACCATCTGCTTCGAGCTT